TCTTTGAGAGTTGAATCTTAATTGGATCAAATCACAAACCTTCTGAGTCTAGGAGTGATGGAACATTATCATTCCAACCCTAACCTAATCCAAGGGAGTAGTGCAACATCATTACTTTAAGAAAGCGAGAAGAAATTGCAAGAATCGCAAAACAGAGGCATATCCACGCCTGTGCTTACTGATAAGCATGCCCTTGCACCCTCTGTAACGCCTTATATTTCTTTCCTCAATATATGATAAATTTTCATAAAAATTTATATGGTAAAGTAAATGTTCTTTCAAAAACTCTCTAATGAGAAAAAAACAATGAAATGATATAAGGTTCATATATTTAGAAAAATAAAGATTCTAAAATTTTCATCAACAACAAAAAGAAATAGTAGTTTTACAACTATTTCAAAAGAATGCTATAAAATTGAAAATATTCATTACATAACTCAAAATAACTAAGTCCTATAGCAGTTCTCATCCATCCATGCACTGTGAGCTTGGTACTATTCGTCCTGGTTTCCTGAAAAATGTTGTGTAAGGGTGAGTCTCTACCCTACCACTCATACATAACACATATTCATCACAAATCACATCTTATCACGATTAAAGAAAACATCATGACATTACATATCACAGTGTCATATAAAGCATATTCTCATCTCAACACATATTATATTCTACAGATTCATAATTTCTTTAACTTTTATCCGCGCTTACCGCGCCCTGTGGCCACAGTTATCCGATGCATCTATTCGAAGGTCTTATACATCCATGTAAATAGTCGCCGAATGGCCCAATACAATACGGATACAACGCATGCAATAGACAGCCCCTTAGCAAAGGTAATGGTCAGGAGTCAAGTCGGGAAACGAGTGTACGGCCATGTGGTGCATTCGAACACAATATTCCGTGCACAATCCCGAATGTCACTCACCACCCTACATTTCCCCAGGATATACCATATCGTCTCCATCTTCCACTCCCCAATGTATCTCTGTAACTATTTACATCATATCATTTCCATCTTATACTCTTTCGAGTATATTCACATGTTCACATATGCCATTTATCATGTGCACACATATTTTTCATTATATTTTTACTTACTTTTCATCATATACATCAAACCATGGCATATTCACAATACACATCATTTTTACATGAAACACAATATATTCAAACATGAAACATCCATCTCTTTGTATATTTCATATCACAAAATCATAAAATCATATCAACCATTCTCAATATACCTTATCATGCCTTATTTGAACATAATATCACATTTTCACCATGTATTCATCATAAAATCACATAAACAGCTAATTATTCTCACTTTTCACCGATTATTTCTCATAAAACAAGGATTATTCCACATATAATCACATACATGACAAGATCTATGAGAATACAAGTAATAAACATAACAAAATGATAAAGTAGAGCCCCCCTTACCTCAAAACAGAGCTTTTACAAAGATTTAACCGAAGATTTGAACTCTAGAATGGAGTTTTTCCTAAGAACATCATAAACATCTATAAGAAGAAGAAGAAGAAGAGAAACGAACGGTAAATCTAACTTCAAACTTAGAGAAACTTACTTGAAATCCTTTAGAACGGACATAGAATCACAAATCTAAAGAAAAATCTAAGTTTAGGAGGTTTAGTATGAGAGAAAATGGCGAGATATAGCCTTAAAACCTTTGAGAACCTTGAATAGGAGTGAAGAAATGAAATTTTCGTGTGAAACTTCTTTTTTATAGAAAATTTTTGAAATTTACTGTTCATCGTCGGAAACACTGTTCGCGGTCACTGTTCATGCTAGAAACACTGTGCACACGCACTGTACGCGGTTGTGATGTCATGCTGATGTCATTGATGACGTCATTGTCACTGTACATAGGCGGTTTTACTGTTCATACACGGTTTACTGTTCATAGGCAGTTTTACTATTCATCGACACTATTCATAAGCGATTTTACTGTTCACTTTTTTTTTTTTTAAAATATAAATTCTATCCAAATCTGTTCCAATTATACTTTAACAAACCTCATTTTATTTAAATCAAAATGCAGGATGTTATACCCTCCAGCACACCTATGCCAATTGAAGAAGCAGAACTGTGCAATAAAGAGCACGACCATGAACATGTTACAAGCATGACTATTGGTGTGTAAAAATCGATTACTGGGCAAGTGTACCCGTTGTCAGAGTAATATTATGAAAAATAGAGTACCAAGTGTTGTATCCACAGGGACTGTTATTAAGAATTACTTCCTTAATTAATTACGCAATTGTTAATAAATATGAGAAATAAATTTTTGTCGATAAAATTACTAAAAATAGAAGAATAATAAATTAAAAGGAACATATTTCTTACGATAATAAATTATAGAAAAGTACGACTAAAGGTATTCAAGGGGAAAAGACGAGTATCTAGACTGTAAATCCTCCTAAGTGTCCAAATAACTGAAATTCTTCTTCAACTACTTAGTTCCAAACCCTTATCGCTGCAGGAAATTCTGAATTAAATAATACCTTTCTCAAGGATAATGATTCCTAACCCTCAGTTGATCAATCAGAATCTCTTCCTTAATTAATACCCCTAGGTTGCATTAAGTTCATTATGGGTTAATCCTAATATAGAAAACTTACGTCTTTCTATCTCTAGAAATACATTCAAGTCTTTTTAATTGAGCAATGTTAATTTCATGCAGGAATTTTACTCAAATTCAAATAAGAAAACAAGATGGAAAACAATTGATACTACTCAATTAAACCAAAGAGAAAAGAACATGAAATAGCATTAGAAGAATTCCAGAAAATTTGGTCAATTAGGATTCATTACGTCTAGATACTCAAAGGAAAATTAGAACCTAAACATCTTGAAATTAAAATTACAAAAGAGATGAATAAAAGTGCTTGAGCCCATCCTCCAGCCATCTCTGAGTCTTTCTTCTCCTCCAAAACAATGTCCCCTAGGTTTCTGTGCCAAGTTTCCTTTTATATGAATAGCCCATGGGCTCATCTTTTCACAGAAATTTAAATTCTGACGCACGTTAAAAGTACACGGCCATGTACTTTGGCCGTGTACATCTCTGGTCTCTAAAAATTGTACTTCATAGCTTTTATGAAAAGTACACGCCCATGTACATGGCAATGTACTTTGACCGTGTACATATCTAGTTTTGATGATACACTTCAATTGACACGACCAGTGAGATACACGCTCATATACACGGGCATGCACTTGCCCGTGTATATCTCTGGTTTTGATGATACACTTCAATTGATGCAACTAGTGAGATACACACTCATATACATGGGCGTATACTTTCCCGTGTATATCTCTGGTTCTTTGTGTGCTTCAATTTCCAATATCTTTTAAAGCTTTCACTTCTTGATCCTTTTTCCTGAAATATGAATAAAATGAAATTAATAATAGTAAATTTTCTCAATGAATAGCTTAAAACTCTCAATTATCATTCATGAATTACAATGTAGGATCAAGTATAGAAAGCATTTATCAAATTCCCCCGAACTTGAACAATTGCTTGTCCCCAAGCAAAGAAATGGATCAAATTTACCCTTGACAACAAAGAATCGAATTCCTGAATTTTTATTATTGTTATTTTTATTTTATTTTATTTCAAATTTTTAGAGGGACAATAATTCTTAAACATCAAATTGTGCCTTCTTTTGCTCTCAACCTTTGTAACTTTAGACAGAACTGAATAAGGACATCTCTACCATTAGCTCTTAAAAAATCAACTCAAAACTTTGAATTCTTCCACAAGTTGTTATTTAATTTTCTTCACTTTGAGCCATGATCAACTAACAGGGTGCATTTTATGCTCCATCTCAATTAGCACAAGGTATTAATGGAAATTCCATCCCTTGTTTTCCACATCGGTACCTCAAACAATTTTAGGGTTCTAGGATGTGGTATACGGACATTACCTGCAATCCACATTCGACTAGATATGCTTCTATGGCATGGTCTTTTATTTTTTAGTAGAGCCCCAATTTTTTCAGATATTAATTATTCTATTAATTGCATCAAATTGTTTAAACATTTGGCATAGATTCAAGGTCCTCAATTCAAAAAAGTCTACTAATACTTTAATCAAGAAACAATCAAATACACAATTCAAATAACCAGAATAACTACATATGATCTTTATTTTTATTTTTATTTTTTTTCATTTTTTTTACATATATTATTCAGGAATATCATCCCTAATGCAAGAGGAAAATTGACTCAATATTGCTCGAGGACAAAACAACAATTCAGTTCAAACATCTATAATTATCCACCCCACATTGTAAGATTTGCATTGTCCTCAATCAAATATAGGAATTAAAGTGCAAACTGAGACTTCCCTGAAATGCAAAGAATTAAGCAAAGAGTGGTGGGAGTCAAAGCTGATCTGATATTCAAAAGAAGAAGAAACTTTATCAAAATGAATTTATAAGGAAATTCAACTCAATTCAAAATGACAAAAAGAGAGGAACAATCAAAATAACCCAATAAAGAAACAAAAGCAATTTAAAATCTAAGAATAACATAAGTAAAAGAAATCCAACAACTAAGACTATCCTAATTGTAGACTAAACTGTTGCACTAGCATCATATGAGTCTTTATCATCTATACTAAGAAAGTGGTCAGAAGGAGATGGGGTTCATGCTAAGGGTGAGGACGCTTATTCAAAATATAAATAAATGAGCAAATAAATAACTAAATTAAAATAAACTAAACCTACCTAACCTAAACTATTCAATGTAATTCAACATTCAACATGGACGAGTTTAAACTCCTTATTTGCAAAAGTTTGCAATTGACCCCCTGGTATAGTTTCAGCCTATGTCCATTCACCTTAAAATTTCCTTTTTCTGGATGAGTTAATTCAATTGTACCATAAGAAAATACCTCATGCACAGTAAACGGTCCAGACCAACGGGATTTGAGTTACCTGGGAATAATTTGAGGTGAGAGTTGTACAATAGTACTAAATCACCTTTTTGAAATAGTTTACCTCCCTTGATTTTTTTTCATGGTAGACCTTCAATTTTTCATCTGGTGGTTCATTAATAGATGGATTGGGTTACTTCTTTGCTTTCCACTCCAAAACTTCGAAGTCCCTCTTTCTCCATAATGGCTTAGTGGCTTCTAAATGACACCACTGTTCTTGAGTTAGCAAGTTCATACCATCTTTTCCTCTATCATTAACTAAGCTTATTTTCAATGGGTTTGAAATCAAGAATTCCTGTGCACAATCAGAAACATAATCATCAATTACATTAATAAAGTAGCAAGAATCATTTTGTTTCAAAGACTTTTTCATCACATCAGGAATTTTGAAAGTGACTTTTTCATCTCCAACTCTCAAAATTAACTTTCTATCACTCACATCAATTATAGCCCTTGCAGTAGCTAAAAATGGACGACCTAAGATCAAGGGGACATCAGTGTCCTCATCTATATCAAGAATCACAAAATCAACAGGAAAAATAAATTTGTCCACTTTTACAAGCACATCCTCAATGATACCCCTAGGATATTTAATTGACTTATCAGCTAGTTGAATACTCATCCTAGTTTCTTAAAAACAGAATATGGCATCAAATTAATGCTAGCACCTAAATCAGCCAAAGCTCTATCAATTATTAATCTACCAATGAGACAAGGAAGAGTAAAACTCCCTGGATCCTTCAATTTCTCGGGCATCTTGTTTTGTAGAATTGTTGAACTTTCTTCATTCAGAGTTACTGTGGCCAACTCCTCCAACTTCTTTTTGTTGCACAATAGATCCTTTAAAAATTTGGCGTACTTGGGCCTCTGTGCCAAAGCATCAACAAACGGTAAATTGATATGAAGTTGACGAAATAAGGAAAGAAATTTACCAAATTGTTCACCATCCTTGTCTTTCTTCAATCTTGCTGGGTAAGGAAGTGGGGGTATGAATTCTTTCACCGTAGGGGGCTTTTCCACAGTCTCTTCTTGACATTTATCCTCCTCTTCAACTGCATCTTTTTCTGCTTCTTGCTTCCCCTTTTCTTGTAATGTTCTGCCATTGCTTAATGTACTGCATTGACCTACTCTTTAGGATTAGTCTCAGTATTGCCAGGCAAGCTTCCTTGGGGTCTTTCTGAGAAGAGTCTAGAAATTTGACCCAACTGATTTTCTAGATTATGGATAGAGGCTTGTTGATTTCTTAGTGTTGTCTCGGTGGATTGAAACTGAGATTCTGAAGTTTGAATGAATTTGGTCATCAACTCCTCAAGGTTTGACTTCTTTTTAGCTGGGGGTGGTGGTGGATGTGAAGCTTGTTGAAATCCTAGGAGTGTATTGTTCTGCATTGGCTGTTGGTTGTTGTTCCATGGTGGGTTTGCATAATTCCTCCAGCCTGGATTATTCATGCCATTATAATTTTGGTAAGGTGGTTTGTTTCCTATCACATTGGCATGCTCTTCTTGAGTAGCTTGACACTCATGATTAGGGTGGCCTCCTCCACAAATATCACATCTCATCATCGGAGCAACTGGATGGTTCATAAATAAAATATCAATCTTCTTTCTTAAGGCTTCAACTTGCATTGGCAAGGATGTTACTGCATAAAGACTATAAATCCCAGCAGATTTTGCAGGTTTGGATTGAGTAGAGCTCCATTGATAGCTGTTCATTGCCATTTCTTCAAACAGTTCTTGTACAGCCCTTGGTGTCTTACTATTCAACGTGCCCCCAGCTGCAGCATCTATCATTTGTCTTGTGGCTAGGTTCAACCCATTGTAAAAGGTTTGCACTTAAAGCCAGTAAGGAATCCCATGATGTGGGCACTTTTGCAGCAATTCCTTAAACCTTTCCCATGTATCAATACCTTTCTCAAGGATAATGATTCCTAATCCTCAGTTGATCAATCAGAATCTCTTCCTTAATTAATACCCCTAGGTTGCATTAAGCTCATTATGAATTCCATAATTAGGGTTAATCCTAATACAGAAAACTTACGTCTTTCTATCTCTAGAAATACATTCAAGTCTTTTTAATTGAGCAATGTTAATTTCATGCAGGAATTTTACTCAAATTCAAATAAGAAAACAAGATGGAAAATAATTGATACTACTCAATTAAACCCAAATAGAAAAGAACATGAAATAGCATTAGAAGAATTCCAGAAAATTTGGTCAATTAGGATTCATTACGTCTAGATACTCAAAGGAAAATTAGAACCTAAACATCTTGAAACTAAAATTACAAAAGAGATGAATAAAAGTGCTTGATCCCATCCTCCAGCCGTCTCTAAGTCTTTCTTCTCCTCCAAAACAGTGTCCCCTAAGATTATCAACTCAACTTAGCATGATTTATGGACTTCATTTATAAACTTAGGAGATGCTTGTAATATTTATGGTTTATTATCCCTTTCTATATCTCTTCCTTCATTTATCTTACCTCAATTATTATAACCTTTTGGCCACATTACAACCTTTAAAAGATCTTATGATTTTTTTTTATGCATTTAATTTAATTAGCAGAGAGTCGATTTATGGTCAAGCATATGGTAGTACACTTTTCTTTAGAGTAACTGAGTGATATCTCCTTTTGTCCCTAGATGCTTAGAGAGAAAGAAGAAAGTTGAGTACCCTAGTTTAATGTTTGAGTAAAAAGTTAGGAAATATAAGATTCTAACTAAGAAATCTTTTTATTACTTATGTTCAGTGATATTACTCTCTATGGTCTTTTTATCTCATTTATCTCAAGTTTCTTGTTGTGGTGATATCTTTCAAGTTATTCTATTATTCTCTTAACCAGCACTTTACTTGAAGACAAGCAAACGATAAGTATGGGGGAGTTGACAAGTCTGTATTAAGATCCATTTTTATAGCCTATATATTTTGTTTGGATTTTCCATTAATTCGTATATATTTTGTGCAATTTAGCATAAGAAGCCCATAGTTAGATGTTGGGCATTTTGAGCCCAAATTGGTTGAAAATCAAAGCTTCGCGGAAATCAGTATGCCTAGTTCTTAGAAGCAAGTACGAGAGTGTTTCAAGTCCATGCACGACCGAGCTTATGGCCTTGCATGACCATGCTCATTTGCGGCAAGCCCAGTTATGAAAAGTTTTAGGGTTTTCAAACCTATTAAAAAGTGACCTCAGAGACAGCAATTGATTGCCCAATTTTTCACCCTGCCTCTAACTTTAGATACACCTTTCATCTCGTCTCTCTTGCACGAGATCTTTGACATACTATTGGCGAGACTTGGAGTTTTGAGCGACCATACTTAAAGACTAGAAACTCATCTCATTCTAGTTTGCTTTTCTCTATAACTTTGTTTGTTATTATTTTAGTTCTTTCCTTTAGCATCAGTAAGTAAGCCCATAGCTAAGGCTATGTGAATTATTATTCATGAATTTATAGAATTTTGAAGTTTGAATCTATGTTTAATTTTCGTATTTGATTAGTATTTATCTTATTGCGCATAATTGAATAACCCTATTTAATTATATCATCAAGCTACCATATTTTGATTATTTAATAGATCTATAAGATAAAACGAGACAAATGATTAGGTGGACTAAACTAATCTTTCTCTTTCAATCATTATTAAATTAACAAGAATATAAGTGCTTTATGCTTTCTTAAATTAATATCTTGCATGACTATTGTGGATGTTAGTTTATAGAGAAGAATATTAATATTCCATGACCATTGAGTATTGATAGTATTTGTATGAATAATTAGTAATCACAAAGAAATTGAATTTAGAGTTAAACGAAAAAATAACATAAAGGATTGAATGAGAAAACTCATATGGCATAGGTTCTTCTCTTATAAGTTCAACCAAGACGTGCATATTGTTACTTGTTTTTATTCACAATTGATTTTATAATTAAATTCTTATTTTAATTAATCTCATATTCTTTAAGTTCAAATAATTGAATTAGAAAATTTTTAGTAATTAGAAATTAATCCTTGTAGAACGATACTTTCGGAAGCTTAATTTAATAATTCTATATTACTTTTCAACATATACACTTGTCCACCAAACACGTTATCTCTCTCTTTGATTGGTGATGACATCATCTTCCCATTGTGTGGGATTTTGAAAAGGAACAAGAAAGGAAGAGGAGGAAGAAGAAAAGGAAGAAAGAAAGGGTGAGAGAGAAAGTTGAAATTAAATATACGAGAAAAAAGATCAATAGTATTACACAATATATGTGACAAAAAAAGACAAAATTTTAAAAGAATTAATGTTTTTAATAAAAAATTACTTATTTGAAATATTTTTAAAAGTTAAATGAGTAAAATAAATAAAAATTAAGTTTGAAAGATAAAATCTAAATTTACAGAAAACAAATATACTAATTTTACTAATAATAAAATTAAATTTATATTTTAACATATTCTATTCTACTTTTTCATTTCAATCTGTCTCCTTCCATCAATCCAACCATATACTTATCACGTATTCAAAATTACATTAATTACAAAAGTTAACGTGAAATTTGAGCTCATAAATATGTATTTAATAAAATAAAAATAAATAAATAATGTCAGCACCAAATCATAGAAAAAGTGATCTCGTAAACATTTAGAGCATCTTTAATGAGATTGTTTGACCCGTTACATATGATAAGAAACTGTTTCATAACCTTGTTACACTGTTAGAATTGCATAACATGTAAAATTGAATATCTTCCCGAAGAAACAATTTCCAGACCTTTGTACTTGAAGAATTGATTGAATAATGTTTCAGACTAATAAAAGAGAGTTACTTAAAATGGTAAAAGTTGCAAAAGTTGATTTGTAATGTGAGTCTCACAAAAAAACTATAAAATAGTGCCATGTGCAACTTGAATGAGTTGCACCAGTAATGATGCTCTAATTTCAGGGATTGGAAAATAGGAATAATTTGCTTGTAGATTTTGCAGAGATTCCATGTTTCGTGATCATTCTTTTCTTGTATCGTGCATTTTTGAATCTTCGTGCCCACCCCACTTCTTTATCCTATCTTCCGCAAGAGATGCCTGCCATTTACACTCAAAATTAGCCTATAATGAACACAATAAGTTTGCTTTTACAAGCAATACACGTGCATTAAAAAAATACCTCTGTATTCCAATCAGTTTTATAGACCATGAAGAACAAAATGCAAGTTTGAAGGATGGTCCCTGACAGCATTCCAGACCAGATTCCCTGAAAATTATCCATCAAAATAATTATAAATCCATCAATTATCATAGTTAATATTTATTTAATTTCCCCAAATAAATAGGATGAGGTAAAAATAGACTATCTTAACTCAATTTGAGTTAGTCAAATTCAGGCTTCAGGTTTCATCAACTAAGAAAATAATTTGTTTTCTATTTTATTCAAAAAATTGAAGTTCAAACTGCATTGGCATAAACTGGATCAGAGAAGAACTCAACTGGGTTGGACTGAAAGAACCAATAATTAATTTGAATCTAAAACCTTGAAACTCAAGCCATTTTAGTGAGGTCAGTTGTGTGGGCTTATTTTGCCTCCTCTAAATCCCAATAATGAATATATTTTGTCTCCTTTATTTGTTTTTAACATTCAATGGATTATAATTTAGTTTTGTCTAAACTTGATAGGCCATAATGCAAGCATTTCAAAAGGTTAAAGCTCAATGATGTGAATTTTGTTGTCGTTTACCAAAGTTGCTTGTTTTCTATATTCTACTTCCAGTGTTTACTAGTTTCTAAAGTACTCATGCACATTTTGTTGTCCAAGTTTTGTTCTAACGTTTTCGTTTGGCTTTTACCAATGTGGAATGATATTTGAGTCGCTTACAAGTACTAAAAGAAAAGCAAATAAAAAGAATGTAAATAATGGAAGAAAGATAAAGAAAATGGCTCACCATGACACCAAAGTCAAACTTGTAACCCAAAATAAGGCCCAGAGGAATACCAAACAAGTAGTAACAAGCAATATTCACATAAGCAACAACTGCTTGCCAACCTGCCCCAACGGCAACACCTGAAAGAACGGGTTGCACGTTGTTGATGACAATGCACAAGGCCAACATGGGTGTTAGCTCCATCACCATCTCTCTCACTTCTGAATCATTTGAAAACAAGAAAGGGTACTGATTCCGGAATATGATCAGAACCAGTGAGAGTAAGAGACCAATCAGAATCGAAGTAATCACAGCGACCACAAGTGAAAACTTTGCCGTTCTTGGGTGGCATGCACCCAATTCATTGGACACTCTCACACTGCATGCATAATTTTTTATACAAATTAAATTATACTCTGTGACTTTCTATGTTATATAAGTTACTTGTACTCAAGGCTAGCTAAAAGCATGTTCAAATGAAGGTGCATCTGGCAAGAACAAACCTTACGGCTGCGTTCACTCCAAAGGATACCATGATAGTCCACCCCAATATGTTCGTGCTGCAAATTCAATACCACAAGATGAGGCACACGAGTGTTTGATCAAAATCGAACAAGATGAAAGAAATAGATTTTATCAATTTGGTTGCATGTGGGACAGATTAATAGCACAAATCAAGGAGGGATAATTATAACATCGCATCATAGTTTTTCTCCCTTGTTGTTAGAGAGTAGATTTTTATATGATAATTTATACTTACACCCCAAGTTTAACAAAATTTTATTCGATACTTCTTTTTCTTATCCTACACAAATTTCTATCGTCGTAATAAAGCTAGATGTATTCTTTCCACGCAATATGAATTTTTACAAGGCATAATTAAGAAATCTGAATAATTACTGCAAAATATTTGTTCATTATCATTTTAAGATTTATTGTACTTTTAACGTAAGACTTATACATTATTATAAAACATACTTTATTTGATAAGTTTGAGTTTGACTATATTAGTTAATATATTTTCAATTATTACTTCAAATTTATCAGATATGAAATTCACGCATTTTTATATTTTTAATAATTTAAAATATATTAAAAAGTACATTAAAAATATGTTACTAATTTTTTTTCTCTAAATCACAGATATATTCTACAATAAGCAGCAATCCTATCAGAGTTGAAAACATCAACAAGAACTACCTCTCCTTAAAGAGGAATTTTCCATCCATTCAAACATGAAGTATGAGTTTAGTGAGACACGTATGTAACTCATTTAATAAGAAATAATAAAGAAAAATATAAATAAATTTGCATAATATTTTTTTTATCTGTTTATGACAGTCAGATATGTATTCATTTTTATATAATGTTTTTTAAAAGCATTCGATGAAATCATATAATACTATTCTTGTAAATATTAATTTATAACTAAAATAAAGTTACACAAATTTTAAATGATGACATATAATAAGTTCATAATTTTTTTTTCAAAGAGTGCTTTTGCACGTTCATGCTTTCTGCCTCAATAAAGATTGTGAATATTTTTAATTTATAAAAAATAAGATATATTTTTTCATATATTAATTATTTATTTTTTATATTTTTTTTATTGTAAAATTTATGTTAATGAAATGCTTATTTATTATTTATATATAAAAAGTTTGGGTTAATATTTTTTATAAAGAATATATAAATTGAAGTATAAAGAAATAAAATTATATTATGTATTTTGTAACATGAGTTCATAGCTTATTTTTAAAAAATTAGTAAGTTGTTTGATGTTAACAAAACAAAATTATCAACTTTTAAAAGTTAATCTTTAAAATATTTATTAAAATAACATTAAGTTACCAATAATTTATTTACTTATATCGTTATCCTTTTAAATAAACTACACATAAATATAAACCATAAATTCCTATTTTTACGTTTAGTTTGATATTATATTTATATAATATCACGTAGTTTCGTAATCATTTAATATATTTTAATTAATTTTATCAAACAACTTTAATATAATCAACGACTTATAAAATTATAAAGTTATAATTAAAAATTATAAGCTGTTAATTAATTTATAGTTGATAAATTAAAATTTTTAATTAACTTATCAGTTATCAGTATATAAATTATAAACTTTAGCTAATTTTATCTAAATATGACGGGGAAAATCGAAGATTCCTGTCAATGGACTAATAGTTTACAGGATCTCGCAATTAACCAAGATCAGTGGCCACTGAGTCACTCACCAGATTGACAAGGCATCAACCGAAACTTCCGCATTCTCGAGATACCCAGCGAACAGTATGAGGGCCATAAAGTACCACACTTCAAGGCTGCATAACATTTTCAATTCAATTCAAAATATATATATTCTTGCTCTGCACTAATCATAAGGAATCATTAATTAATTTTTCTTAAAAATATATATTATAAAATAAAGATGGTAACCGTTTAGCATTTTAATAAATATTTTTATTTTTTACCTCATATTTTAGGATTCTGTTAAAAAATCGAAAAAGTCTCCAGTTAAAGGTAAAACAAAAACCTGCAAACAAGCAAAGGAGAGCCCGCAATAAATAAGAAAGACTTTGCAGATATCATTGTTCCCATGAAAGCAGTAGCGAAGGAGAATTAATTGTGGTAAGTCAAACACAAAAATAATATATCTCCATGCACATGTTAATTTTTTAAGCTTTAAAAATATTTATTGTCTATTATATACCCAATATTTAAAATGTATAAGATGATAAAAAAATAAAAAAGAAAAAAAGACAAAAAAAAAATATAAAAAGGAGACAAAAAGTCAAAAAAGGTGAAAAATAAAAAATATATGAATCTATCGATTATTATTAAAATATTCATCAACAAGTTCTACTCTGTTTAGAGAAAGGTAAACGAATAAATATTTTGAAGAGAAAGGTAACAAAAACTTGTAATGTATTTTTTAGGCATACTTTTTGTAATTATTTGATTTAAAAAATTAAAAAATTGATTAATTTACAAAACTAGCGTTTTAAAATATTAGAGGAGTATGTTTTAAAAAATATATTCATAAAATACTAAACTTCACTTCAAGGCTGCTATATATTGTTCCCATGAAAGGAGGCCAGCAATATACAATTATAAAATGTTTTAATTTAATATTCACTACCTAACACCCAATACTTGGTACTTTTAAAAGAAGATATCTATGTACAATATAATTTTTAAATAATGACAAACAGTTCAAAATATATTTTTTTACTAATTATTTTAAAACAATTTTTTTATTACGAAAGAATATATTGTGGCTTTAAAAAAATGGGCAAATTTATTATAATATTGTAAATTAAAAAACAATTTATTATTTTATAGCAAATTTGAAACAATTTCTCAATCTGGAGTTTTTTTGTCACGTGGATCAAATTTTTGCCAAATAGCTGGCGAAAGTATTAATTTTTAAATTTTTTAATATCTATTTTGCCACAAAAGAAACGAAACATGACTTCTTAGAGCGGTTAATTTAAAACCGCTCTCATAAGTCTATTTAAGAGAGCGGTTTCAAAGGAACCGCTCTCATAACTCGATTTTAGAGAGCGGTTCAGAAGGAACCGCTCTCATAACTCAATTTTAGAGAGCGGTTCCTTGTGAACCGCTCTCAGAAGTGCATATTAGAGAGCAGTTTTCCGGAACCGCTCTCTTAGATTTAAAATGAACGGCTGGGGAGATTTTGATACACGTGGCAACATTTGAGATGATTCGCGCTGCTACTGGCAAAAGTTTATTAAAGATTAGTAAAAAAGAATTTAAAATTTAAATAGTTATTTATTTATTTATATATAGATTAATAAGTTTTTAGAAAAAATGAAATGTGATATAGTTAATTAAAATATAAAATTATAATTAATTGTTAAGAAGATAGGTTAAATTAAAATTTATAAAATTTGTTTACAGGAATTATTATAGATATTTATTAACATACAGAATAATAAAAATTGAGTTAAATAAAATAATTATATAAAACTAAATATCTTAGTTTGTAAATAATTTTTACACTTATATTGAAGTAAAATTTTAAAATTGTATTTATATAAAATTTATGTAGTTTTAAATTAGAAATATAAAAAAATAAAAATGTAATTTAATTTTAGGCAGTAAGTAGAGTTTTGTATTTAAATAAAATTTGTATGTAAATAATAATATTTTTTACTTTAAAAAAAGTAATAGTATTTATATAATTATAAATTAAATGTAACTTATGTAGATTTAAATTGGAAATATGAAAATATAAAAATGAGTTATGAGAGCGGTTCCTTTAGAACCGCTCTCTAAAATAGACTACTAAGAGCGGTTCCTTGTAAACCGCTCTCTAAAAGAGACTTATGAGAGCGGTTCCTTTTGAACCGCTCTCTAAAATCGAGTTATGAGAGCGGTTCCTTTGAAACCGCTCTCTAAAATAGACTACTGAGAGCGGTTTTAAATTAACCTCTCTAAGAAGTTATGTTTCATTTTTTTTGTGGCGAAATAGATATTAAAAAATTTAAAAATTAATACTTTCGCCAGCCGTTTGGCGAAATTTTAATTCACGTGGCAAACAAACCCCAGATTGAGAAATTGTTTCAAATTTGCTATAAATAATAAATTATTTTTTAATTTACAATATTATAATAAATTTTCCTTTAAAATGCTTATTATTATTATTATTGTTATTTTTTAAAATGATTTTATACAAAATATTTTTATTGATTAATTAAATTAATAAAAGAATAACAGCAAACACTGATATTATGCATCCTGTGTTTGGACTATGTGAGATGATCAATCACAGGACTATGTGAGATGATCAATATGCATATGAAGAGAAAAGAAATAATTAAACAAGAAATTCATTTACTTCGATGTGTTTTAGATAATTAAAAATGATGAAAACAATAAAGAAAAGAAAAATATATAATTTATTTTTTAATTGATTAAAAATGTGTAGTTAATGAAGTCTAATAAGTTTCAGTGAATCATTATAAAAATAATTGAAGTGCTGGATGCATGCATTAGCAGGAACTCCACCCCGTGCCACACGGGTCACAATACTAAAATAGAAATAGAATTGAAAGGAAGACTGACTGACCAGAGCATAACACCAGAGGCAAGAGAGAGGCGCACAAATCCCCATAGACTCTGAAACGCTTGAATGGAGAACCCACTCCAAGCCTCACCACAGGACCCCCAAAACACATACACAAGCTGAGCCACCACAATGAACCACCACGACGCGTTCAGCACAACCGCAGCACCCGCCATACCCCACCCAAGCTTCAGCATCAGTAGCCAGCTGAAAACGACGTGCAACACCAGCGCCACTGCTGCAATCCACGCCATGGCCATGATCTTGCTCTGCGCCTGCAAGAACTTCTGAATGGGAAAGTTCATAGCGTAGGCAAAAAGCTGCGGAATCATCCACAGAGCGAGCACCCCCGCCGCCTCCGAAATCGCCGTCGTTTGCCCTATAAACTTCAGAATCGGCTCAGCGAAGACGTAAAGAAGGCTCAGAAGAATCGCGGTTGCGTTCATTATCACCCACGATCTCTGCATGTATATTCCTAACATTTTGAGTTCCCCTGCTCCGTAAGCTTGCCCACATAGCGTTTCCAACGCGCTTCCCATCCCAGCCTGCGTCCAAACTCAACACAAATTAACCAACCACGGGTCATATTTAATTGGAAAAATGTTATCATCGTTCTTTGAAACTAATTTCAAGCTATTGAAAACAATAGAATTTTCTCAAAGCAGAAAGTACTCGTTATGTCGAGAGTGCAGAGTGTAACAGATGTTTTCGTATTCAATATAAACTTATTATTTTAAGAGTTAGATTATTATGGTAACAAAATTTTCTTTAATTGTTTCCTAATTTGTACTAAAACACAACTCTTCTGCTTTTGTAAGAATATCTTTTCTCTAATTTGAAGTAGCTAAGTTAAGATTTAATCAGTGATTTATGAAAAGTGAATGAAATTAACACGATGTTTATTACCGAGATGCCTAAGCAGAAGCCAGAGATGACGGAGTTTTCGACGGAGAAGGCGGCGAGGGCGAGGGTGCTAACTTGGCCGGCGAAGGCCTGAGTGACGGCGCCGAGGGAGTACTGGCAGACGGAGGTGAAGATGGCGGGACCCGCTATGTACCACAGCTTCTTTGACTCGAGGAGGAACTCTTGGGTGAAGTCCCTGGCGCCGGAGATCGGAGCGATGTCGTCGGATTCAGTAGTGAAGACTGCGGTGTCTGGGGAACGGTGTGGCGGCGTGAGAAGCGGGTGCGTTTGGTTGTTGTTGTTGTTCTCCATGGTCATCCAACACGCAGAACAGAAAATGCTCAAAGGTCAAAACACGTATGTAAAGAAGAGATTGGACCTTGTAAACAGATTTCACCGATACACATAAAATGATTGTTGTTTACCGACTTTGAGCGGGAATTTATCAGAAGAAATCAAGTAATAATAATAATAATAATACAAAGGTGGTGGTGGTTGGAACATTAACTAATTCACTTTTTTAACATGTTTAAATTTTTCAGCATTTTTAATAATAATAATAAAAATACTAATAATATAATATTAATTAAATATTTTTTATTTGTATATTTTATTAACATTTTTGTTTTAGTTTCTTTAAATAAATTTTTTGTGTAAGATTTGTGTATTTTAGTAAAATTGTTATTTTTAGTTCATCTAATAGATGTAAAAATTGATATTTAAAAATATTTTTTTAAGTAAATCACCAAATCACTATACTATGATAGAAAAGATATTAGTGTGGTTTTAAATTATTTGGAGAACACCTTCATTCTAATCTTTCTTTACGTGTTACTTAAATATACAATATTTATAAATATTTTTTAAAATATAAATTATAAATTTAATATTTGAAATTTCTTTGCTTGTGAGTTTTTTATTGTAATTATAAATTAATTTATGATTATATTTAAACTTGAATTTATATGTTTGAAATTCAAAATTTCTTTATTTGTTAGATTTTTTTTTATCAAAAACCTAAATCAATTTTTTGTTTTGTTAAAACTCAGGCTTGTATATTGTATTAACCAAATAGTTTACATCTATATGAATAAAACACTTCAACAGAAAAAAAAAAAGATTAAAATAATAGTAAGTTTCATTGTTAATAGAGAGAAAAAAAGAAAGAAAGAGAGAATGGAGAGAAAAGTGTAAAAAAAGTAGCTATAGTTAGGAAAGAACTAACTTTGTTAGCGTGTAAAATTCAAAGAAGAAAAAGAAGAGATTCATAGAACTACTATGAGTTGAGCAATGATCTATCTTTATGTGGTTTTATAAGTTAGAAATTGTTAGAATTTTTTAAAATTTTAATGTACAAGAGTAGTTGATACATAATCATACTCCAAAAATGACTTTTGAGAATGTTTAATTCATAACTACTGTCTAAAAGTTTAACTTTGGATAACAGTCACATATTAACTGCTCTCCAAAGTCACTTTTGGACAACTGTTACATACTAATCACTCTTTAAAGTCATCTTCAAAGAGCAATTATATTATTTCGCTATGCAAACTGTTTCAAAAAAGGTAAAATAGAGTAATGCTAATAAGATGATAAATAAAAATCATAAAATAGTAGGGATAATTTTTTTTTTGAAGTGATTGAAAAAGAATTTACTAAAATATAATGATTAAAAACATATTTAAGTCAACTACTAATAAAGATATCATGGAATAAAGTCGTAAAACGAGTTTGTCCAATTAAGTATGGCTAAACATGATTGATAAAATATAAGGTTTTTGTTTTTTGGGTATAAATTTTAAATTTTGTCTTTATTTAAATTCAAATTTTCTAGCTTGATTCAATCACATTTTATGTAAGGTAAGCCTAAAAGGAAACCAAATTTATTGAGTTAGAGCACCACTTTATGAGCTCAAATTAAATTTGAATTTTTTTTTTTTACTTGACTAGAGCTAACAAAATAGGCCTACCCATTTTAAACCTATATAAGCTTAAAAAGAGTTACTCCAAGAGTCACCTATAACCTATATTATTTTATCATTATTTGTAAATATATTTATGGGTTAATGTTGACAACCTAGAAAATATATTGGCAACATATTTAATAAAGATTTTTTTTATTTTTAAATATATTATCTTATTTTAGTATATTTTTTATTATATCCAAATTCAAAATCTTAATTTTAACTTATTTGAGTCTTTAACATAAATTGTCAATGGACACATGTGGCGACTTTTTTTTGCATCTTTTACGAATTGATATCAAGTTGCTTTTTCTTCTATGTGAACACTTGTATATTGTTACTGTTATCACAACTCCTTTTTGGTAAGGATATGTGACATATTACCCAATTATAACCTGTATAAATTTTAAGCATTTAAAAAGAATCAAAACTTAACTCAAGATGATCGATGAAAAATAAAAACTCAACATCTTAATGGTAAAGTAGAGCCTCAAGGACATCCTCATAAAACTCAGAACATATAATCATCCCTTAGCCATATTCGTACAAGAGTTGCTCGGCATGGAACTCAAAAATACAAATTTATAATAAAATAATTACATTTCATGACCAAAGCTATAGCTAAATAGTCTAAACTCACAGCTAAGACCTAGACTAACAAAAGAAGTAGAGCTACAGATCTAAAAAAAATGTCAAACTCTAATCACTTCTTACCTAGATCTTCCAGCATGCACCACCTGTCACACCTACTCACATATCAATGTATGATCATCGCAGCACACATGCCAACATAGATAAAATGTAAGGGTGAACTTCTACAACAAACAACCATCGTCATAAAATACAGAATATAAATATAATATTTATACAACTTAGTGCATTCACAGCTCTTAGCAAAACAATGCAACAATTTCACCAATACCCAGCCCATCTAATACAACAATTTAGTTCCAACTGGTTTTACTGCCTAAGTAAGGCAGAGAAAATTTAAAATTTTTCAGTTTAGGAGTGACCCACCATGGTATCTGGATCCAAATATAGCATAGCTCAACATTTCTTTCTATCGTTACATATCTAACCACCTAAATATGTAACTCGACTCTAGAATGATAAAATCATTATAATGCAGAATAACTATATATATATATATATATATATATATATATATATATATATACACTAGAGACAAGTTGGATCAAGGAAATAAAAAAGCTAAAGAGAAAGTAGGCAGTAACAGGACTACTAAATGAAATGCAAAATGTAAATATGCAGAAATATAAATAAAATTTAAAACATTGAACACTGAAGCAGCGGTAGAACTAGCTCAAGACTAGTGGAGAGAGAAAGGAAGAAAGCTTGATGACGGTAGTCTGAACAAAACTAGTATTTTAGGAACATATAATATATCCTGTGGGATTTTTGGGATGGTCCAGTCATTCATGTTTTGGTTTATCTATTCAAAACAAACTTATTCATCAAAGAGATTGTATTTGGGTGTGAAGTCTATTTTTGCTGATCATTAAGGAGTAGATTGGTTTTAGAGGGAAAGGAGGATGAGCTAAAGCTAGATCTAAGAGAGATACAGAAGAGGTGACATCATAAAATAAACTCTAGTTCATCACCCTCATTTAGTTCCATAAAAATATATTTGTAAGATAATCTATAACTTTTTCTCTAGATCTGGTTATTTTTGGACTCATTTTTTTTTTTTTTACAGATTTACAAACATAGAAATATCCCTACTATAGCCACCGTCTTCTTATGTTCATCCATTCCGTTTGAATAAAGCATCGTCGAATCATCCTTACTATCCTCAACCAATATGACTTAGAATATTGTACTTTATGTAAAGATATTTCATAAAAAACTAAATTTACCGAATTAAAATACTGTACATGAAATATAAATCCAGATCTAGAGAAAGAGTCACAAATAATCCACAGATCTATTTATATTTTCCCATCAGGCTATGATACCAAGTGGTTAACAACATTTTCTCACTATCCACTACCAGTGTAAAGTCATAACATTTATCAACCAATCTCAGCATAATAGATTTACATCATATATCAAGCATTTTTAGCATGTTATATTATGTTACTATAGTATTTTAAACATTCGTCATAGGTAAGATCAATTTTCAAAATTGGTTTTCATACCATTTATGTAATAACAGAGAATCCCATCATACATACTTTGTGTTCTACCATAAGGTTTATCCATATATCAATCTACTCTCAACTAAATCAAGATTCATACACAAGTGCATATATTATTTGGATGAGTAATAATAGCAACTTAGGACAAGCTCCCTTTATCTGGAAATAGGTTTCTTAGATCACACTCCTCGTGAGTCCCAAGGGAGAGATACAACACCCAGATATAAAATATCATCTAAAGGACTTAGATCTCCTAAGTATGACAAAGTAGAAAACTGTTGAGAAAGAGAAATGAAGGGATAAGGAGTGAAGTTGGAGAACTAAGCTTTGGAAACTTACTTGGATCTAAATGGAATAGGAGTTCACACTCAGATTGGGGAGAGGTTTTCTCTGAGAAGAGAAGGTGAGAGAACAAAGAGAAAACAAGAAGGGAAAGTTGTTTGGTGAGATAATGAAAGTTTTAAAGATTCCTTAAATATCCCTCCAAACCCGCGCGTTCTCACTTGAGCAAGCTCTACT